AAATACACCAAAACATTGCTTAAACATACCTCTTTCTCTAATAGATAGCTCTCCAAAAACCAATATGATGAAAACCGGGATTAAGATTTATGAAGTTAGTGGAAATATTTTTGTTTAGGTAATGAAAAGGTAAATAAAAACCAAATACTCTTTGCGATTTAGCTAATATGGGGGTTTCTAGAAGGTATCCACTGTAGACAACTCTTATAAGGGAAACCATTATTTATGCGAAGCAATGTTTTGCTTTATATATTCGACTAATTTAAGAAAAGACATCAAGAAAGGCAATTCCATATTACTGCATTCTACCATTGATATTTTGTTTCAGTATTTTTGTTTTCACATTAATTTTTCACCTTGATTAGAATTATATTCATAATAAGGAACATTTGAATTTGTTTAAACAATATGAGGCACGTGTAATTAAGAGCAAGAGAATCAATTGGTTTGAATATTTAATGTTCTTTTAATATTATCAATGCGATTTGAGTTTTAGTTCACAAAAATCGGTTACAAAATATCTTATGTAATGCCCTCTGCTCATTATGGACGCGTCGCGTTTGCATCCATTTACCGTTTAACGCGACCAAATCCCATACAAAACTTGTAGGCGAGGGCGAGGAGGGGAGGGTGGAAAATTGTCGCGTTACAGGGCTGGAAATTGAAATTTGTGGTATTTTTAAGCAGTATTAACCAGGCATGGACATTTTTCTGGACCCGAAACTGATAAGAGGCTGATAAGAAGCGGGAAATATTAAAACTATTTATTGTTGATATTTACATTGCCAAAGGATCTGGCAATAGTTCAGTATTCCGAGGATGATCCAAGCGCATTAAGGGCAGTAACAGTTCGTTTATCCAATGGAATGACTCGGCTAGAAAGGATCGGAAGCGAAATATTGGTCGTTGCAGCGCAGCCACATGGGCTTTCCCGTCTCCATGATCTTGACGTTTGCTTCGCGTGCGCCATTCGTCCATTAAGGCGACCTCGTGGTCGCATTTGAGCGCAGGTGCAAAATCTACTTTGACCGTCGACGGCCATTCCATATTTAAATGACACACGTTGACAGGCGACTGCTGGAAAAGGGCACAATGTCCTTGTAGGCGTTTCTGCCCCGTCTCAGATTCTGTTCAGTGACGTACCGCCGCAGAAGCTACTGCTGTCGCGGGTCGCGGCAAAGAATTATTTAAATGACTGTTCAGATCTATATATATTAACTCCTTCTGCAGCAGATCCTTTTGCTCTCTGCCGTAATAAATGTTCAAGCAGCATAACGAGGGATGTTGTTATTGCTTTCATCATAGCAGCAAAGTTTCCACGCTGTTCAAATGCTGTTCTGCGATTACAATTATCAATAACAAATTATTTAAATCCATTGTTTATTTCAGCTCGCAAATGACAATAGCAGAACAGCTGTTTTCAACGCGTTTGCCAATGGAAACACCTCACGTCCGCCTATCGCGTTGCCAATCGAAAATACACAAAAATACCGAAAAAACCGCATAGTGGAAAAATGCCTTAAGTATGTTGTGGAAATGTAAATGAAATATTCTTTTAGCAAAGGGATATCAGTATATCTTGAATTTGAATTTGATCGAATCTCAATTCCTTAGTCAGCTGCAATCAGTGTTGGGAAAGGTACTGTGTTTTTTTACCTAGGTAAGGTAAAAGGTATTGGGCAAAAATAAATACCTAGGTAAGGTAAAGGTACTTCAATTTCCCAGTACCTAGGTAAAGGTATAAGGTAAATATATTGTTTTTTATTTATTTTTGTAAAATTTCTTTGTTTTGTTCAATGTAATCATTTAAACTTAAAATAAGACTAGTTTTCAGTTTTTAGTCGTCTTAATCAAACTATATCTTTTCATTTCATTTAAATTTAAATGTTTTAATTTTGTGCATATATTTTTAAAACACGCGGCATGAATAATTGTATGTACGTATCACTTCATTAATTTATTTATGAAACCCTCATGTACATATTTGGCGCGCAAAAATTCCGTATGTAGAAACATTGACTATGTATATGTATATGCCGTTTGTTTACGTACATACGGCATTTTTGCGCGCCAAATACACTTTGGTTTCATAAATAAATTGATGTAGTGATGGGAACATAAATACGTGCACAAAATGATATAAAATAAAACTGCGATTAGTTTTAACTTCACAAAACAAACAATAGAACGGGTGAATTCCAATGACTTTTAATGCTGCGTTCCGACTATTACAATTTCGAAACGAAACGATACAATGAAACGATACTACAGTGTCGCAGTCAGATTTGGCTATTTTAAATCAGAGCAATGTTTAATACCTATGTAAGTACCTTCATAATTCCAAAGGTATATAAAAATCTGTAGCTAGGTAAGGTAAAAGGTACTCAATTATTTTTATACCTAGGTAAGGTAAAAGGTACCACTAAATTGTACCTAGGTACATACCTAGGTAAAAGTATCTAGGTATGTCCCAACACTGGCTGCAATGCACACACACAAACGTACACACGCATATACATATGTATCTAATGGCTGTGTGTGTAAAATGCGCATTTTTTTGAATATATTTATTTTGTGAGTGTGTGTGTACATAGCAGAGCAAATCATTGTTTGTTTTTGTTTTATACAAATCCAAAGTTTGTCGATAACTCAACATTTGAAAACTAATAAATAGTTTGCTTATCGGGCTTTTGCATTTAAAAAAACAGAAGCAATTTTAAGGAAAATTTCGACTGTAAAATTCAGCTTAATAGGATTTCTGTAAGGTCTACCGATATTTTAAAATTTAACGTTTACTTAAGATTTGCGATATAATCGATTTCTTTTGGCTGTGGTATTTTCATTTTCCCCTTGCGCGGTCACACTTAAATTGCGACAGCAGGACATACATATGCACATACATCCATGCGCCAGCAGAACATACATACAAACATATGGGGACGCGTGACGTCGCATTATATTAGCCAAATTTGAAAATATTGGGGACTTGGTTAAGGATGCTGAATCTCCAAGAAATTTAAATGCAGTTATTTGCGGGTATGCCATAAGATTATGAACATCACATTTTTAAACCATTTTAACAACATTTATAACAGAGAAATGGCAAAAGAAAGATTAAAAAAAAAAAAACAAATCGAATTTTGGGGCACTTTGGGGTCGTTTTTTTTCTAAAAATTATTTTAGTAATTACTGTGATTTTTCTAGATTTTTAGGTCAATCCGTTCTGGGTGGAATTTGCTACTGACCGTTTTTTTAATCAAGACAAATATTGATTTAGATAATGTAAAATCGACCTACGTTTCATATAGATTTTTTTTTTGTGTACGATTTGTTATTTTCTTAAATTTTGAAATTAGCAATCAATTTGATGTAATCGAAAAAAAAAAATTGCTTAAGAGTATTCTTTTCAAATTTAAAAAAAATCAAATTTTTAACAAACATTTATTTTTTAAAGTTTTTAAACATTAAAGCATAAAAAAAGAAACAAAACTACTTTTTGTCTTTTTAATTTTATTTTGTCCGAATTGTTTATAAATTGTAACTTTGTCGGTCTGTACGTACGCCCCTGCCACGCCCACTCCCTGTCTTAAGCAATAATTTTAAAGGTAGACCAATTACACTGTGCAGCATTTTTAGTGTTTTTTAAATTTACCTCGATGGATGCTATATTTTTGGATTCGTTACGAATTCCCAAGTTAAACTGCGTTTTCCAAAAAGTTCCCCGACGCAAGGATTCTTAGCAAAGGGACCTCAAAGTTCGAAAAATGCTGAAATTGGCCAACTTTGCGGAACTCTCAGGGGCAAATGGATGCATGGTTTGATTCGATGTTAAAGTTTTTTAAAAGATACACCCTTTATCTTTTAAACCCCATACTTCAAAAATTTTTAAGATTTTTTTTAAGGCAGAAACAAATTCTAGAAAACATAGTTAAAAAACATAAAAGTATACAGCTGCGGTCAAAATGGTAGTAGTGTTGCCGCCCTGTGTATTTAAAAGTTTGTTGTTGTAATTGATCTTTTCCGGGTAATATTGTATTGATTATAATTTTACTATTAGACTAATTGGATAAGAAAAAATTACAACATCAAACTTTTAAAAACACAAGGCGGCAACACTGCTACTATTTTGACCGCAGCTGTATGTTTTTCAGTTTTTTGACTATGTTTTTTGGAATTTATTTCTGCCTTAAAAAAAATCCTAAAATAATTTTATGTATGGGGTTTGAAAGATAGAGGGTGTATCTTTTAAAAAACTTTAACTTCGAACCAAGCCATGCATCCATTTGCCTCTGAGAGCTCCGCAAAGTTGGTCAATTTCAGCATTTTTCGAACTTTGAGGTCCTTTTGCTAAGAATCCTTGCGTCGGGGAACTCTTTGGAAAACGCAGTTTAACTTGGGAATTCGTAACGAATCCAAAAGTATAGCATTCATCGAGGTTAATTTTTGATGCTGCATAGTGTTATCTATCATATGCCGGTTACATCATTCAATTATCTCTAAAAGTAAAAGGGTATATTGTATTCGTACAAAAGTATGTAACAAGGAGAAGGAAGCGTTTCGACCCTTCAAAGTATATTTTTCTTGATCAGGGTCACCAGCCGAGTCGATATAGCCATGTCCGTCTGTCTGTCCGTCCGTATGAACGCTTAGATCTCGAAAACTACAAAAGCTCGGATTACCCACACAGGTTCTTGGGCTTCCTACGCAGCGCAAGTTTATTTCAGCCGGCCGCCACGCGCCTTCTAACGCCCAAAATCGCCCACAAACGATTTTAAAATGTGTCTGACGCCCACACCTTTAACGATTTCGAAAAAGTAAGTTTTATTGTGTTATAAATACCTATCGAATGTCATTTACGTTTTTCGTGTACTCAAAATACTTAAGCTTTTTCACAATAAAGGGGGATGCGCCCCTGCCTGAGTGTTCTTAAATTGTTAAAAAATCAATATACAATATTTTCGCCTATTTTATATTTTAAATTTTTTATTTACATTTTTTAGTTCCAAAAGGGTCAAATGTAAAAAAGTGGATTTCGCAAGAAATTAATGGATTTATATTTATATGGTATCATACTGACCCAACAGAAATACCGTGGAAACTTCCTTTATCTATGGAAGAGCTTAAAGAAAAATTTGTTTACCATGGACATAATGAATTTTACATCAATTGTCATATTCAAGAAATACCGGAAAATGGTGCTGATACTGCGCACTTTAATGCTATACATAAAGAAAGCTTTATTAATGGCAGTGGAGCTAAAAAACATTGTTTATCTCTCCGATATGGATGTCATCACTGGAAAGCGAGGTAAATAAATTTTAAAGATATATAATTAAAGATATATAATAATATAATTATTATATTATTATTATATTATTTGAAATTTGCAAATCGAATTTCGAAGCGCACGATCCTTTTCGAGTTTTGTGTAATCAATATAATGAATTGTATTTTTTGTTGTTTGTTGAATGTTCCGTGGACTTTAATGTAAGAAATATTTTTAATCACCTATCCTTGCCTCTGCCCACTTGATGTGAGTCGGAGCACATCATTAAAAAAAAACTCCTTTACTCGGGCGGAGGTAGGAGTTAGGTTTATATTGGCAGATATTTGATAATTTTTTGGAAATAAATAAATAAAAAAAAAATTACAGGTTGTCACAGGAATATATTCTTACCAATTTTCAACATAAAATACTGTATAATAAATAATGACGGTTTCTCCCGTAGAACTTTAAGTTCACGACTCAAAACCAAACAAAACAAGAAAGGAAGCTAGCTTCGGCAAGCCGAAGCTTATATACCCTTGCAGATTATTCCTATTAATTTACAAATCGCAAAAATGTTAAATTTCCTTTTATTTTACATTAATTTTTCGATCGTTTCTATGGCAGCTATATGATATAGTAGTTCGATCTTTTTAAAATTAAAATCAAATTCGGAAATATTTAAAAATAGTCATATCCCAGAGTAGAAGAGAATGTAATAAAAATCAACAAAGATATAATTTGTTTTCCTATTAATTTCCATTTAATTTTTCGACCGTTCCTATGGCAGCTATATGATATAGTGATCCGATTTTTAAAATATTTAATTCGAAATTCAGAAATATATAAAAAATAATATTCCCAAGAGTAGAAGGTAATACTTGAAAAAAACACCGAAGCTAGAATTTTTAACGTTTTTTTTCCGATCGTTCCTATGGGAGCTATAAGATATAGTTGTCCGATCCGGTCGGTTGCGACATATATACTACCTGCAATAGAAAGAAGACTTTTGGGAAAGTTTCATCCCGATAGCTCAAAAACTGAGAGACTAGTTTGCGTAGAAATAGACAGACGGACAGACGGACAGAAGGACAGACGGACATGGCTAGATCGACTCGTCGGAAACGTCTCCTTCACTGCGTTGCAAACTTCTGACTGAAATCATAATACCCTCTGCAAGGGTATAAAGAAGGAGTTTCCATATTAATAAAGTTTAAAATTATTTCTGCGCCACAAAATGAAAATCCTACATTTAATATGTATCCCCAAAGTTTTATAAACGGAAAGAGTGATTTTTAAGGGGATACGTACACAGCCCAATACTTTATGTGGTCGAAAAAGTCTCCTTCACTGCGTTGCAAACATCTGACTGAAATTATAATACCCTCTGCAAGGTTATAAAAACAAGAGAGAACGCTATAGTCGGGTTGGCTCAGCTAAATTATATTAATTATACATATTCATAGGTATAAATATACACAACAAAATTGCGTTTATACTTCTCGGAAATCTTTCAAGGTATGGGCGCCACACACATTTTAAAATCGTTAGTGGGCGTAAGAGGGGGCGTGGCGCTTGGCTAAAATAAACTTGCGCTGCATAGGAAGGAAAATAAATGTGGGAAATCTCAACTTTCTAGCATTTGTAGTTTCTGAGATCTCAGCGTTCATACGGACAGACAGACAGACAGACAGACAGATCAAGAATATATATACTTTATTGGGTCGGAAACGCTACCCTCTAGCTGTTACATACTTTTGCACGAATACAATATACCCTTTTACTCTACGAGTAAAAAAATTCGAAATCCTCCATAATTTATATAAATCGATATTTTTTACAAAAAAATAAATATTTTTATCGTGATATTTTTTTTTAAAAATTATCAGATATCATTGATTTTTTTTGCACATTATTTTGATAATTTTAAGTGGTTTCACTTTTCATTGGGAGAAGAAAAAATACACAAGTGAAAGATGAGCGCAGTTAAAATGTATTTTTCGGCAAGTTAAAATGCATAGCATATCATTCAGAACCCAGGAAAACGCAGTAAAAATAAGATAGAACGCTATATATAGATATATTTTTTCTGATATCACTAGTTTACAGCCGAAATGCTCCCCAGCAATTGATGGCAAATTCAGTTAGTGTTGGACCTCTAGACCACGAAAATAGCATTAATTTTTTTTTCGATGGCACAGTTTTTTTTTTAAGATTTTTTAAAGTTCGAAATGTTAAATTTCTGACTTTTTTCGAATTTCTTCTTATATCTCGGCATATATCCACTCGATTGGGCCAGTTTTAGTTTTATTTTAAAGTCAATAGATCAGAGTTTAACTTTGCCATACAGATCAATATGATTGGATAAGTAATGGCAGCGCAGAAGCTCGACAAAGATGAAAAATGTGTTTTTAGGTCGACTGTAAGTCGGCTGTATATATCGTAAAAACTCGAAATAAATCCGTTGAAAAATCATAATGGGTACAAACTTAAAGTTTAGATCCTACCGAATAAAACAAGCCGGATATGGACCAAATCCATGTAAAACCGGATTTATGGTGGATTTTTAAAGTTCGGATTTTTCCACTTTTTTCGGTTGACAGAGTCTAAATTTAAGATTTATCATAGGCGGCGACATGTAAACAAAAATAATTGGTGTTGGCAGCCGGGTCACTAAATAGCTAAATCAGATATTTAAAAGCTAGAAAATTATTAAAGTGAATTTAATTTTTGAAATTAAGGTTAAGGTTAGAATGAATTATCCAAATGGATAGAACTTAATTAAAAATACTCACAGTCATAACGCAAGCAATTTTATGTTTTAAAGGAATTTTCAGAACTTAAATTTATTTTATAATTTTCTAGCTTTTAAACTTAGCTATTTTTTGACCCGGCTGTTGTCACCACTCATTTTTGTTTACATGTCGCCGCCTATGATAAATCTTAAATTTGGACTCTGTCAACCGAAAAAAGTGGAAAAATCCGAACTTTAAAAATCCACCATAAATCCGGTTTTACATGGATTTGGTCCATATCCGGCTTCAAGTCAGAAATTTAACATTTCGAACTTTAAAAAATCTTTAAAAAAAAACTGTGCCATCGAAAAAAAAATTAATGCTATTTTCGTGGTCTAGAGGTCCAACACTAACTGAATTTGCCATCAATTGCTGGGGAGCACACCAAGAATATTATTTTGTAAACTAGTGTATTAAATATCAGTTTGATTTTTTGTTTCAATAAAAAATATCATCGATACGATATTTTTAAATATTTCGACATCCCTAGTTGTGAAAAAATCTTCAGAGCCGGCGGAGTTACCAAATTCGGGGCCGACCGTACCCATAGGTACAGTAGGTACCGTTTCTGGTTCGCAGCCGAGTGAGGTTCAGACTGCTGCTGGGGGGCGTAAGAAACTTTCAGTTGTTCCACATAGGAAGCAATTATTTGTTTCTAGGTTTACCCCAGATACCAAATCTGAGGATGTTTTGGAATTTATACGAGAAAAATTCCCATCCGAGGACATTGCAGTGGAACAATATCGATTTTCGTACGCCCGCATGATATCGTCTTTTAAAATATTTGCTCCGCCTGATGTGTCAATGTACTACTTTCTGAAAGCTTTTGGCCAATAAACCGAGAACAAATAACAGGCCTCCCACTGTGCCTAATAAACGGCTTTCTACTGTGCCAAATAACAGGCCTTCCACTGTGCCAAAAAACTAATAAGTTTATTTTTGGCTTATCAAAATGTTAGAGGACTATGAAGCTACCAAAGCTTTATGCTGACTCCTCTGCATTTACTGAAGATATTTTGGCTTTTACGGAAACTTGGCTGAAACCAGAGATATCTGACTCTTAAGTTCTGTCAAATAACTTTAACACCTACAGGACCGATGGCTCCTCGCGTAGGGGGGTGGTGTACTGATTGCCGTTACCTCTACTTTAACATCGGAGAGACTTAACTTTCATATCCCTAACGAAATTGAATTTGTTAGTGTCAAAGTTTCCCTGCAATCCTTATCTATTTTTGTAACCTGCTCTTATATTCCTCCTGGCTCTGATTTAATCATTTATGAACACCATCTGTCTGCTATAAAATCTATTCTATCCTTCCTCTCCAACAGAGACCTTTTGATTGTTTTGGGTGACTTTAATCTCCCTAATATCTCTTGGTCCCTTCCCTCTGACTCACTTGTAGCTACACCTTTATCTGCGCATGATTTTGTGGATGGCCTTTTAGAATTATCGTTACAGCAAGTAAACTTTATACGAAATTCTTTAAATAGACAATTAGATCTAGTATTTGTTTTAGATCCGCATGAAGTTACGGTATCTAGAATTGACGCACTTGTTGTACCTGAAGACCGATATCATCCAACATAGGAATTGACAATTGGCCTTCCCTGTACTGATACCCTTTCGAGATGCTTTCGAAAATGTGACTTTAATAAATTAATTTACATGATTTCGCAATATAATTGGACTGAATTTTACAATTGAATGGATATTAAAAGTGCAATTGAACTTTTCTATAGTGTTTTAAACAGTTTCTTGACCTGACAGGCTTCCTCCAAAGCTAAACAGGCCTCCTTGGTTTAACAATGCGCTTCAAAGACTTAAAAATCTTAAATCCAACACTTATAAAAAGTATTAAAAATCGGGTAAGCCATCTGATTTTTCGTAATATGTGGTGGCTCGTTCAGATTTTAATGTTCTCAACAGTCATTGCTATTCTATGCAGGGACCGTAAATAATCATTATTAATTTTTTTTTAACAAAAAAATCATGGTCAAAGAATAATCCTAGAAAAAAAAGAACTATACCAGTACACTTTTTAAGCACCATAGTTTCAATATCCGGTTTAATTTTTATTTTTCCAATTTTTATTTAAAACTCGAAGGATAATCGTTATTTTTTGAGTTTTTTATAAAACTCTAAAAGTAATGATTTTTTTTTGAGTTTTATTTCAGCTCTAGAAATAATGATTATTTTTTGAGTTTTATTTTCCGCTTGACAAATAACGCTTACTTTTTGATTTTTA